AACACGATAAGGGTTTGATCGAGTACACCCCTGCTGTACTCAATACTAACTGAACGACAAACCCTTTTATCCTCACAATCAGAAACAGAGCTGCTGCTATAAGGTACAAAATTTTATAGTCTCACAATATGATCGCTTCCTGAGAGAGAGGCGGAATAGTGACAGACAGTGCTTAGCACGATCATTCCGTTAATTTCTGACTTCAAATCATGATTCTCCGACGTGGAAGCAGAAATTGCTCTTAAAGCAACGTCGAATATGTTGACTGCTCAGCAAAGAAACATTTTTCCGAAATCACTCACTCAAACATTTTTCCGAAATCACACACAAATGCAATGAAAACATCCATTACCATTTTCAATCAAGTTTCTTTTTTTTTTCTAGTGCAATCCATCCTTCATATAGGAGAATTTTGCTTAATTTCCCTACAAATGGCCGTTAATCAATACAATCGTTGCTGAACTATCATCTCACAATGAGCAATATTTATCCAAAGAGAATCAGTCAACGACAACTAAACAAAGTGAATTCGGAAAGAGGATGAGGTTAGGGTAGTGCATTAGAAATCAACAAAACTCGAGAGTTGTCCGCAAATAAGTAAACGCTCAACTGAATTCAAAACAGAGCACTCCATTGTTGATTGTTTATAAACACATTACCCGTCGTCTTTCTGATTTGAATTTGAGGTGTTCTGTCATACGAAAGGCAAACAAAAGCGCAACGGTCAACCGTGTGTCACTCTATACCGCTTCCGTTTACGATTTTTTGTGTAGTTTAGCGATCTGAGTCGTACCTTTAAGTTTGCTATAAGACTTTCGAATTCATTCGATTCGAGACACCCAGCAATGTGGTGGTGGACGATCATTTGCCTTCTCGCTGTTGCAAGAAAAGGTTTGCTTTCCAGTTTTCGTTTCAGAAAACCATTCTGATCAACGAGCCATTAGCATTTGAGGTGTTCTACTGTGATATCATCGTTTTCTGCACTTAGGCGATTTGTTTGATATTGAAGGTAGCTTGTATGAATGAAAATGAACTGCAAAATTCTGACAATGACTTGCCATATTCATCAAGGTTCTGATGCGAAAGACTGGACTCGATGAGCCCTGAGTAGCTCATTCAGAATTACTTGGAAAGTGATGCTTGTATAACATACTTGCTTGTCTCAATTGAAGGTGTGGAGACTGGGCTCACTTTGCTTCTTATAGGAGGCAAGCATGGGCTCATAGGAATTTTTCGCGAGCGAGTTTAGCTTTCCACAACCCTACCATTTATTCCAACATTAGGTGGTGAATGTAGAGGTGCTTAGTGAGCAGTTTTGCTGGTTGTGCCTAAATTTGTTGAAATCGCTTGAAGTGGTTATCGGAGCAGGTGGCGGTGTTCAACTGATGAGTGAAATCGGAAGATGTGTTATTCTTTGAAGCCAGTTCAATCGGAATGAACCAATAAGAAGTTTTATTCTCATCGGTAACATTTACTGAATGTGATTTAGATGAGCACAATCTAAGAGTACGAGTGGTGTTCCAATGTCCTAAAAGAATCACCTATCAGTCGCTTATGATGTCACATTTGTTGCTTAGAATGAACTCTCATTGTGCTCCACAACGAATGATGATAATTCAACCAGTGTCCAGCGATAATAATAAATACAACAAATGCGTTCTGATGAAAAACAACTGATGTAAGTGAGTGTTGCAGAGTTGTGCTAGACGTATGAATTTCAGACTATGCTCGATCGGAAACAATATGCAGAATAGGTGATCCATGCGGAGAATGTGAATTGCGAGAAGTTGGTGATAAATGCCACAAGGAAGACGTTTATGAATCTTTGTTTTGTGATCGGGAAACGAAGTAAGCAATTCCCGCTAATTTAAGCACTGGTTCACAATCATTTTGGAAGTCATAAAGATATCATACAGCGCTTGAGTATGGAATGGGTTTCTTAGAAAACGCATAAAGAGCAACATTTCCAATTATGCTACGTACGGATAGAATTTTCTTATTCTCTAGAAAATCGTTGTTCAATTAAGTAGTACCATGGACCACTAGATCGTCCAAATATTCATAAAAATCAATGGCAAATTTGAATCGGCGATAAAATTTTGCGAACATTCCAGTCAAATTGATATCAATGAGAATGCATATTTGGTATGTGATACACGAAAGACACAGCTCATACGAAAGCTGTGCTCGCAAGGTGAGACATTCATCAATGGCGCTTGCGCAGTGCCACTGAAACGATACCGACGTCAAGGCACGGCTGGTTCAGGACGCGTCGGAGACTCTTGCTCATTCAATACAGATTGCCTTACCGTTAGCTTTCTGCCCAATTCAGTGTCGTGTCATGCTTGAATTAATTCATCAGCATTAGCTTAAATAGAATTCTTTGGTTTTTTTTTTCCAAATTTCAATTGCAGTTGTCGCAAATTTTTTGGACGTTGAAGGTCTTGAAAGCTCTCTCATTATCAAAGATATGATCAAGCATCAAGCTGATGTGATCACATTGAGAATATATGTTTAGACTTCTAGTGATTGATTCGATGAAGCTTTCTGCCAAATCAGATGTTTGCTTAAGAAAATTAGAGACGTGCAAATGGAGGATTTTTCGATGTTTTCTAAACAATATAATCAAAAGGAAACTGAAAAATCAAACCACAACACGATCTCTCGCCAACGCATATCTCATAGATGTTTCTGAAATTTCCAAATTGTTTCAAGTGAGTTTCCGGACAGCTGTAAATATATGGTTTTGAAACCATATAGTATTTAGATCGGTTCCATAACGGAGTCAAGAACCTTTCGCCTGAACGAACCTCCTTATGCTACTATACACACATTATTACCTAGATGTTGAGCGATGTTTTTAAATTGCAGGGAATGTTTTGCTCGACGGGCATGTGCACATGTCTCAGTAATTTCGTTGCAATCCAAGGATATTGTTATTTGAGTAGGTTGCATTGAATATTCTTGCGTGCATTATTACACTGACCAGCAAACCTACTTGCGTTTGATGTTTATGCACAACATACACATACTGTGTTTCTGGTTCTTGCATCGGTCATTTTCGTTGCAGCACTTCGAAAGTGACAGATTCGTGCAATTAATTTCTTGACAACATCAGTATTCCATCCGTCTACGCATGGCATACTCACTGTCAACTAAATGGAGAAATGTATTGCAGAAAAGAATCCAGGCGAAAGTGGCTGCCAATACTCAGAGCAGTGCAGTGCTGTATGGCCTGAGTCACGCTGTGAGAAGAGTCGATGTGAATGTCCAGAGGACGTCAACGGTGTACCATACATCCAATCGAAAACTCGTGATGGAGTGATCTGTATTCTGAGATCCGGTGAGGATGGCGATCCTGTGCCGAAATGTCCACTCCCAGAATATGACGATGACTTGCTATCGATGCCCGTCTCTCAACTGAGAAATCCAGCGATGACTGATCCGGATGATGATACAGTAAGCGATTCGAATAATTAGTTGTTCGACAACAAAACTGTGATGGTAGATGGATATTTCGTGATGATGAAAGCATTTCAAGTGGTTGATCCAGTCGCTTCATTTTGGTGGAATGGTGTGATGGGAATTCGAGCGAATTCATTTGTGAGATCAGTTCCCTTCACCGAATAAATAAAAGCCAATGAGATGCTGCAAAATTGAAGACAAACTGAAATTCTTAATGCAGATAGCAATGGGTCAACATATAAATCCTCTACAATTTTGTACGTCTACATCGACCGACTATAAGAAATTCGTTGCAAACGGTGGTGGTGCGTGTGTCTATTCGGATGATCCAGAGAGTACGTCTGGAGTATCGATAGCTGACATCTACGACTGCGTTACGGCTGTATCGATGACCGAAGTTAAAGAGGCAATGGACGGCGTTTATGATGTACATCCAAATGCGGACGGCATCTGCTGCCCCAATCGAGGTATCTCATCTATAATCTGACTTTCAGACTTCATCATGACAAGAGAAGTACAAACTGGAAACTCATTTCATGAGCTGCCTCAGAGAAGAAGGTTTTACGCAGTGAAGTTGCGTTAAATTCATTTCATCACCAAGTGCATCGCGTTTCACAAGATGAAATAATCCATTTTCAGCATTCACTTGTATCCAACCAAAGCACGAAGCGGACACGAGTTCAGCGGCAGCTACTGGTGTTCGTCCACGTTGGTGGTTCAACGCTGTTACTGGAACATGTGAACAGTTCATGTGGGATCCATGGGATGATAGTGAAATGCAGTCACCGAACAATTTCAAGACTCGTGAACATTGTGAATCGTATTGTCGTGATAGTAGGTTTCACCATTGTAAATTGAAGTATTGATTTCAAGAATTCATTGAGAAATGCCCTCAAATGACTGAAGCAGATTTTATGAAGAGTGTTGAAAGGCCCTACTATAGATATCAATCAGTGCATATTCGCTGTCGATTCTTCAGCTGATTAGAACATTCATTTAATCGTATTAATTTTAATGAATCAGTAGAAGGTTAATCAAGAGTTGTTTGTTGAAGCATGTAAACGAGGATCGCCACAATACACGAACGCCATGACAATAAATGATGCCGAACCGGTGAACACGTGCCAGTCAGTGGGCACCTGCCTTCAGAACTACGAATGCAGCACGGTTGGTTCGATGCAATTCTGTTGTCCGAATATCGCGAGTATCTGCAGTAATGCTGGAGGTCGGCCACTCGAACCAATCAGAAGTACACATTATGATCCTGGATATTCCATCAAGAGGTACTTTCGATCAAATTCGATTTTCCTTTTATTCTAATTCATTATCCAATGATCCCATCAAAGTGATTGTTTGAAATATTTCTATGAAATTTCAAATATTTCTATGAAATATTACAACCTTTTGTCAACAGTCATTCATGTTTCCGAAAATATTTGAGCGGTTTATTTCGAAGTGATCACTTGATCAAGTGCGCTATCCGTGTAAGCGTGAATCGATAGTGATATTCTATCTGAATCGTTTGTTAGTACAAATAATGGCTCATCTACCAATAAATGAGTTCCATCTTACCTTGAAAGACTCACCTTTTCAGATCATTTGGTTTGTCGTATGCAAAGTCGGGGCGCTATTACTACGATGTCGAACAAGGCCGTTGTATATCATTCACGTATAATGGCGGTTTCGGCAATTTCAATAACTTCAAGTCATTGTCCGATTGTGAATTATTTTGTGCAAAACTGCAATGTAACTATGGAACACCGCTCAAAATCGGTACAGCCAACCAACGGTGCTCCACTAACACCGACTGCCCCAGCACACATGAGTGCCAATCCGAACATAACGTTTGCTGTCCACGACCACGTTTGTGTTTTTTATTTCTTCTTTCAATATTGCACAAGGCCAGCCTTCTCCAGCTCAACTTATCTCATTCATTTTGTGTGCAAACTCTCTTAAAATAAAACTTGCACACTAAACAGGTTCTTGAAATTACTCAAGAACTGACGATGAGAGATTTTCCCATGCACTGCTAAACGTTTTACCTAACGGCTGAGATTTTTTGGTTTAGAGGCGATTTGTTCGCAGCCGTTACGTTTGGGTGATTGTAAACAAAGTGTTCGACGATACTGGTATAATG